GAACCACCCTTGGAAGTTGTCGAAGCCGGACCCCAAACATCCGTGTGCACATAATCTAGTATCCCTCTGCTCTTGTGCTTGCTCCTCAGAAATTGAACCCTGTGCGCCTTTCCATACACACAGTCCTCGCAAAAATCCATGCAAGGCTTCTTCAGATTCTTCAGCAAACCCTCTTTACCAAGCAGATCCAGACCCTTCTCTGACATGTGCCCAAGCCGCCTATGCCATAACCGTGTGTGCTCACATGGGTCTCCACCACTCCCTTCAGCTCCAATTGTTGCATCTCCCGTCACCGTCGTACCCGAGAGAGTATATAGATTACCGTGACGAACACCCTTCATCACTGTTAAGGAACCCCGAACAACCCTCTTCACTCCGTTCTCTGTTACAATCTTGCAACCCCCGGAGTCCAAAGCACCGACTGAGATGAGATTCTTCCGCAAGCCGGGAACGTGTCGTACGTCCGTCAGGGTTCGAACCACTCCATCATGCATCTTGATTTTGATATTACCTAGCCCCACCGTTTTACAAGCATGACTGTTCCCCATCAATACGGTTCCACCATCAATGCTCCTGTAGGTAGTAAACCACTTCCTGTTTGGACACATATGGTAAGAGCAACCAGAATCAAGAATCCACTTCCCGGAGGTATCCTCGCCATCCGTGACGATATAACATTCCTTATTGCTCCCATCCTCTGAAGCGTAGCTCGCCTCTTCCTTGCCTTCTCGTCTTTCAGTCTTGTTGTTGTTCTTTTTCTCACCTACTCTCTTGTTAGAACAATCGACCTTGAAATGCCCAACTTCGCCGCATTTGAAACACGCTCGTCCCGCAAGAGGTCTCGATTTAGATCTAGACTTTCCTCCCTTGCCTTTTCCTCGCTCATTGCCTCTTCCTCTGGCAAACAACCCCTGCGCTTGTTCTTTGTTATCACCAGTGGCCATATCACTAGTTGTAATTTTTCGAAGATCATCCGCTAGAAGCGCCGTTCTAGTGTCATCCATCGATAAATTTTCACCCACAAGCATCAGTGTTTGCACCAGGTTCTCATAAGACTTCGGCAGAGATAGAAGTAGTAGAAGCGCCTGATCCTCATCTTCCACTGTCACCTCAATGTCTTTCAAGTCCGATATGATCCTATCGAATTTGTTGATGTACTCCCGGATTGACAAGCCCTCGTCCATCTTGCAAGTATACAATTTGGATTTTAAATAGATCCGGTTCGTTAGACTCTTCGTCATGAAGGTACTTTCCAACTTCAACCACACGCCCGCAGCCGTTTCCTCCCCGTCCACTAAGAAAGCTACATCCCTTTCAAGGCAAAGGATAATCGACGCCCGTGCTTCCAGATCCAGCTCCTCCCAATCCTCATCAGACATATTTTTATGCTTCTCTCTTCCAGCCAAAGCTTTGTGCAATTTTTGCGAAATCAGCGAATTTTTCATCTGCATCCTCCAATAGGAAAAATCATTCTTCCCATTGAATTTTTCAATCTCGTATTTTCCAACTTTACTTGTTTTACTTGTAGAAGCAGAGTTTTGATGTAATGGTTAGAGGAACTAAATTAAGATGATATCAGAGCAACCTAGATTCAAATCCCACCGGCCACGAATTAAATACGGATTTTTTAAAAATTGACACCGCTACGTGAGTCCAGGTTTCGACCTATAAAAAATGGCGCTCGACCTACAGGGCATGTTAGAATTAATATAAAACTATAATCTTTAATCCGCGCTCGACCTGCGGGGGCATGTTAGAATTAATATAAAACTATAATCCTTAATCCTCACCATAACTTCGGAGTTTTGGTGTAATGGTTAGAGGAACTAAATTTAAGAAAAACTTTGCATCTAACTCTTTTAGATAGTTCCGAAAAAGGTTAGTGTACGTAAAATAGACATTTATTTCGGGCTGCAACTAAAATGGTCGGCAGCTTAGATTTGGAAATTTAAGGGAAGGAGGTGTTGGGTTTATTAATTTGTTGTTTGGATTGAGTCAACGTTTTTTTTAAATACAATATTCATACTAGTTATGTACTCGTTGGACCCATGACTGATTTTATTAGGTATGAATGAGTCTAATTTGGGACGCAAACATGTCGAGAGTTCAGAAACCGAGTTGAAGACTAAATAAGATAAAAAAAGGAATGCTGTAGTCTACTTCCTAGCTAAGGGATGAAGCTCATCGTATCAACAACAGCATGTGATTTTAATAGGGGCGGTGCTGATATCAGACTCTAGAGGTGATAGGAGCACACCCCCAACCACACCCTCCACCACACCTCCTCTCCCTCTATAGTGCATTGGGTCCCACATCAAATTTTTTTAAAAAATTTGATGTGGGGCCCAATGCACTATAGAAGGAGAGGAGGTGTGGTGGAGGGTGTGGTTGGGGGTGTGCCCCTAACATTTCTAGAGTCTGATATCAGCACCGCCCCTATTAAAATCACATGCTGTTGTTGATACGATGAGCTTCATCCCTTAGCTAGGAAGTAGACTACAGCATTCCTTTTTTTATCTTATTTAGTCTTCAACTCGGTTTCTGAACTCTCGACATGTTTGCGTCCCAAATTAGACTCATTCATACCTAATAAAATCAGTCATGGGTCCAACGAGTACATAACTAGTATGAATATTGTATTTAAAAAAAACGTTGACTCAATCCAAACAACAAATTAATAAACCCAACACCTCCTTCCCTTAAATTTCCAAATCTAAGCTGCCGACCATTTTAGTTGCAGCCCGAAATAAATGTCTATTTTACGTACACTAACCTTTTTCGGAACTATCTAAAAGAGTTAGATGCAAAGTTTTTCTTAAATTTAGTTCCTCTAACCATTACACCAAAACTCCGAAGTTATGGTGAGGATTAAGGATTATAGTTTTATATTAATTCTAACATGCCCCCGCAGGTCGAGCGCGGATTAAAGATTATAGTTTTATATTAATTCTAACATGCCCTGTAGGTCGAGCGCCATTTTTTATAGGTCGAAACCTGGACTCACGTAGCGGTGTCAATTTTTAAAAAATCCGTATTTAATTCGTGGCCGGTGGGATTTGAATCTAGGTTGCTCTGATATCATCTTAATTTAGTTCCTCTAACCATTACATCAAAACTCTAAAGTTATGGTGATGATCAATGATTATAGTTTTATATTAATTCTAACAGTTTTAATTGTAAACAACCAGTATTTGTTTAAGCAAACTCATGTGGATTTTGAATAATAACTGAGATGAATATTTGACCAAGAAGGACTTTATTAATATATGATTGGTATCTTAGTCTAATTTTATATATGATTACACGTTTGATAACTGAAAAATTAGTAGAATTTTATAATTATATTGTATTTTAACTTATGCACACATGGATTTTACATTTATCCAAAATTATAAGTGATGAATTTTTTTTTTTTTTGAGGAAATTTTGTAATCCGTATTATTGTAAACATAAACTAATATAACCCGAAATTGTTTACATGAACTTTTACACTTTTTCCAAAAGAAAGGTTCACGAGTTTGGTTCAATTTTGGACGAATTCTGTTGGAGTATTGGTTTGTCCACTAGATTTCATTCTTTGGTGTGACGAAGTTTTTTTGCACTTCTCCATGCAGTTTTAACCCCCATACTTTTTTAACTTTTTGACCCTTTTATATGAAGTAAAAAATTATTATTTAAACTTTAGAAAAATATAAGAAATATTTTTAAAAAAAAATACTATTACATCGTGCGTTAATCTGTTAAATATTTAACTGTAATCTCACAAAATAGTTATACTGAATAGTTACATACAGTTTAAGAATGAAAATAGACAAATCGATGCTTGAGAGTTCACTCATACATGGGTCGTTTAATCATAAAAATTTCTGAAACAAGATGTGTAAAATCTGGACCCATACCCAAACCCGTTAAGAAAGCTCCCGAGACCTCGCACTCACGATACTGCAAAAATAACAGAGAGAGAGAGAGAGAGAGAGAGAGAGAGATACAGAGAATTTGTACTACGCGCACGAGCACAAAGAATGTCATAAACAAGATAGCTCCATTCCCAGCCCCAAACCCGAGACTGTCAAAATCCTCAACTCTCACTCGCTCTAGCCTTAAATAAGTATATATAGATTGCGAAGTCCCCGTGAAAGAGCCCATTTCCTGTTCCGGTTGAGTTTTTCAGTGGAGGAGAAAGAATCAGCTCTCTTTGAGGAGGTTAGTTTTTTCCCCCCTGCTACTTTTTAGTTGTTTATGATAAATTTGGTGCTAATTTTGGTTGGATATGCTTCAATCATTAGATTTCCTGTCATGCACGAACAAAACGTTTCATTCCCTCATTTGGGTTTTTTTTTATGTTTTTATTGTTTACATTTGATTTTTCTTATGTGGGTACTTGCTATTCGTGAAAGTTGTGGTCAATTGATTTTAGCTATATTTATTTAATGATTTGGATTTTTTTTTTCCTTGGTTTTGAGTTTACTTGGCTTTTTTGCAGTTGAAAAAGTTGTGTTTCTTTGGAGTTCGCAATTATTTTTTGTTGGTGGGTTTCTCTTGTTCTTCTTTTTCATTTTCTGTGTTAACTTCCACTTCGAGGGAAATTATTAGGGTATGAAAGTTTCAGAAATTTCGATGCTATTTATAAAGTTTTTCTTTGGTAAGGATTAGGATTATCTGAAATATTGCAGGCCTGGTGTTTCTCATTATCATTCATCAATACTTTTTTTTTAATTATCCGCAATGCCAATTTTATTTATTGTCCCTTTCTTATGTGTGTTTAGGTATTTTTGTTCATCCTCACTGCTGTGTAATTAGTAAATTAGTTAGGAGGAGTTAGGGATTGTTCTCGACTGTGAATATTTCAGAATTTACAGTGAAATTCTATAACTTTTTGCTGATTCAAAGCACACAATTCTTTCTTTGCTTCATTTTATTTAGAAAAAGAAATTACATCAGGTCAAATGAACCATCGCGTCCCTGATTGGGGTATGGAGGATGATCTGAGAACTTTGAGAAGAAAGCAATACCGGGGTAAATTTCTACTCTCCTCTTCTTTTCAACAGCAACTTGAATTTTGGTTTTTCTTTTTTCCCCTGTGATCTTATATGTTTGATCTTAATTTAGACCCGATAATGAACTTGTTGAGCTCTTATGGAGAAACGGGCATGTTGTCATGCAAAGCCAAACTAATCGAAAACCTCAAGCAACGCTGAGACCCGAACCCCAGCCGAAACCTGTTGTCTCTGTGGTAAACTCAAGCAATTTAATGCAAGAAGATGAAACTGCTTCATGGTTCCAATATGCTTTCGATTATCCATTAGAGAAAGAATTGTGCTCGGAATTACTCGATGAAATGCCTATGGCAGATGCTATTGATGCTAACAAACCGAACAAAGAAGTCATCAGAGATGCAGAGAAAAATCCTTTCACAATGCCTCCACCTAAGTCTCAAACTACACGTTTAGGTAATTTTTCTCACTTCTCGAGGCCAATGAGGGGCGATGTGGGAGAATCATCATCTATTAGGACAGTAGGATCGAGTGCTTGTGGGAGTAACCAAGTTCCAAATCAAGGTGATGTGAGCAACAATTTGAGCAGGGGTGTATTTGAAAAAAGGTCAAAAGGCAGAGGACCGATGATTTCGCTTCAAGAAGGAGTTCATGCAAATACATTTGATACTACTGTGACTTCTTCATCCGGTGGGTCTGGTTGTAGTTTTGGGAGGACAACAGGGCAGCAGAGTACGAGCGATCAGAACAACAAGAGAAAGGGGAGAGATGCAGAGGAATCTGAATGCCATAGCGAGGTTGGCTATGAAAATTTATGCATAATTTATATAGAATTTTCGTTTTATCAGTCTATTGATAACTAAATCTTTAACTTGCAAAATTTGTAGGAGGCTGAATATGAATCGATTGAGGCTAAAAAGCACACTCAACGGCCTACATCCACCAGAAAAAGCCGTGCTGCTGAAGTTCACAATCTATCGGAGCGGGTAAGATCTATTGTTTATTTATTGCCTTGAATTCAATACTTAGGTTTCTTTTGTATTGTGCTATTGCCTTGAATTTGATACTTAGGTTTCTTTTGTATTGTGCTCTGACTGTCAGTTCCTTTTGACTACAGAGAAGAAGAGACAGAATTAATGAGAAGATGAAAGCATTGCAAGAACTCATTCCTCATTGCAACAAGGTAAAGTAAACATGAAAATTTTATGTTTTCCTTATGAAATTGGTCCATTTTGATTTAGTTAATATGTTCAATGACAAGTTGCATTATTCTCTGATATCAATGCTCTAAAGTACTATATATCCATGTATGCAATACTGATTGTATGGTAACTGATCGATTTTCAGTCAGACAAAGCTTCGATGCTAGACGAGGCAATTGAGTACTTAAAGTCGCTACAACTACAACTTCAGGTATGAACTTTCTACTATGCAATCTTCTGTATTCCTCTCTTTTTCTTGTATGAATAATATGGGCTAAGGCCCTCTTTTTCCCTGGAAAAAAACTACAACTTCAGGTATTTAAAACCATATAGTGTCTTTAGAGAATAACGGGTTTCATATGAAATATGAGGGGATTCTCCGCATAGAATGCCATGGTTGAATCCTAGCCAAGTGTGGCTATGGGGAATTCTCTCCACCTTTATTCACTTGGCTGAGACTCGGTCACATATATTGTTGTATACGAGAGAATCCCTTCATTGTTGTAAACGAGAAAATCCCTTCATACATCATATGATATCCATTTTCCAATTTAGGTAACTACCTTGCTGGTCCTAGCAAAATCTAACCTATGTCCGTGTATTATTATTTCCATGTCTCAGCTAATGTGGATGGGGAGCGGCATGGCACCAATGATGTTTCCGGGCATACAACAGTACATGCCACGGGTGGGTGTAGGCATGGGTCATACTTCTATTCCCCCCATCAATAACCCAATGCAATTATCAAGAACCCCACTTGTCAATCATTCTATGCCCTCATCGGCTCCTTCGAACCAAATGCCAATGTGCCCATCTCCGTCCTTGAATCCAGCTAATTTCCAAAATGTCCATCATATCCCAGAACCATATGCTCGGTACTTTGGCTTCTCCCACATGCAACTGCCTCCCCAGGTTTGTGGGCCTCTTGTTACTTAATTGTTATCTATGCTTCTTTTGCCTACAAAAATTGGGTCTGAGCCTGGTATTATAATCATTGCAGGCTGTAAATTTATATTCATATGGATCTCAAATGGTGCAACAGCAGAATCAGACAGCAGCGGTTGCTGGAAGTAGTAGCTTGCCGACATCTGGTATTCCGATGGAGAATCTACAAAATGGTCACTCTGGTAAGATTGCAATGCAACTAGCGCGTTTTACAGTTCGTTAACTTTCTTTTACCAGTAAATAGTAATTCACCTCTTTTGTTAAATGGTAACCGCTACGAATTGTGGCATTGAACTTAACCATTGAGATTGATTCATCTTTTACCTTAGCCTTCCCATTAAAGCGGGCCTGGTGTAGGGTACTAGAGTGTGAAGTGGTGGTTAAATTTTTTAAAGTAAATGATTTTTGAAGTATATGAATTCATACTCTTAAAACTTGCGCTTTAACTTGTAACTTAGAAGGATATCAATTTAGTGCATTTTACGCTTCTTCTACTGGTAACATTTATAGATAATTGCAGTATGTGTCTGTTTATATGTGCATTATATCTATCTAGATAGAGCATATCAAACTTTGCACCTTTTCACTCCCCGTATCTCCCTCTAACCACTGCACCAACCACCTCTTGGTTGCAATTCATTTTTTAGCATCTATATAAAAAAGAAAACTCCATACGTTATTGTTCTGCCTGGCATCTGCTATTTACCTACTTTAATAAATCAAATAACTTAGCTGAACTAATATGGTTTGATACATGGCAATGATGATAGAAAGTGACTGAAGCTAGATAACACCAATAAATTCTAGCCTTTAGTGACCACTTCTTTTTTAGTTTCTTTGTCTGTCTAGTTCTTATCGTTTTCATTCACCGATATCCATCCTTCAAAGTTTATTATCTAGCCATGTCCTAGTGGCAGATATGCAAGGTAAGTCACTATCATTTAAGCTTTATGTGTCTTCTTCTTGGTGTGGACAGGTTAACACATCGTAATTATCGATAAGGAACATTTTGGAGTGTGAAGTTGATGATCTCCCCACTTTTAGATGTATCTCTCGAGGGAATGTTAATCTCGTAGTACTTTATTGAGCAGATAAATTCATGCATAATTGTAATGATCAAGTGTCTTTCTATAGCTTTGTCATCTAGGTTTTCTTCCTCATTTCTTGACTAGTACAACCCCATTCTTGTGTAATTTTCATTCAAAGATTGCTGGATTCAGCAACTGTAAAAATATTGTTTGTGATGTACTATCTGTTTCCTACATAAGAGCTTTAGCGAGTTCATATTTCTTGTTCTTTGTTCTTGTCTTCATGGATGACTGTACTTCATCTCCATATTTTCCTTTACCGTAATATATTTTATTTCTCATGACTCATGGCCATTTCAGAACTGAAAGCAAATTCTCTTAGTAATTTTTTATGACATTGCAAAGATCTGTGCTCACTCGTCAAGATTAGTATGTTAATTTATCTTCTAATCCTTCTTCCTTAGCTCTTTCTATTGTGCTTATCTCTCTTGTCTTCTCATTTTCTGTGTATATTTCATATCTATTTCCTCTTGTTAATAGATCGTGTCTTGGTTTCTTAAGACAAATTACTGGAAATTTCTTATTCTATGAAACATGACCATCATTTGATCCTATCACCATCTTAGATTAAACTCAAATTTGGTTTTTCTCGTCACCTAAATCAAATTTGGTTTATCTCATCACCTAAAGTAATAACAATTTATTTAAGTTCTGCTCCTTCTCATAATCACCATGTTCCTTACATGGGGTTGTAGGTCGTAAAAAATGATCTCAAATTTGTATTGATTGAATTGTGTATTACAAATTAGAAATCTCTTTTACACAGAAGAAGAGAGAATAGATCTGATCTCTCTTTTGTTTAACGTGGGGTCTTTTGGGACGAAAGGATGCCTCACTTGATACTTGAATTAAGTTTGCTTCCCGTTGACGGTTCGAACAAGGTTGTGAACAAACTTCCTCGTATGGTAGAAGTTTTGTTTTTTGGAGTTCGAGTACCCGAGCTAGAGTTTGAAAGCCGACAAAGACTTGATTGCTTATAGGCCGAGAGCACCAAAAATCTCCAAGTTCGGTTCCCTTTTTGGTAGCCATTAGGGGCTCTTTATAGAAAAGAACGGCATGTAACCACCTCCTAGGAACGTGGGAAGTGAGCATAACCACTTTCACGTTTTAAGCTTTAGTGGTTGACTTGGTCAAGCGGTGCAGGCGGACTTGACGTTCAGGCGAGCTTGATGAACTTGCAAGCGAGTTGGAACGTGCAGGAAAACCTCATAGGCGAACTTAAATGTTTAGGCGAACTTAACTTTGTTCAGGCGAAGCTTAGTGTTCAGGCGAAATTAATTCTGCATGGTTGACTCAGGCGAAGCCACGTTATCAGGCGAACTTGGCTTTGCTCGCAAAGTCAAGTATTCAGGTGAACTTGAATCTGCATGAGCCGTTCAGACGACCAAGCGAACTTGGCTTTGCTCGCAGAGTCAAGTATTCAGACGAACTTGACTTTGTGTTCGGAGTCAAGTATTCAGGCGAACTTGACTTTGTTCATGCGAACTTGAATGTTCAAGCGGAGTCAAGCATTCAGGAGAACTTGACTTTGTTCATGCGAACCTCATGCGAACCCCAATGTTCAGACGGAGTCAAGTATTCAAGCGAACTTCACTTTGTTCATGCGAACCTCAATGTTTAGGTGATCTTTTGAGTTTCCTTTGTTAGGAATAATGGCAATTTTATTTGCCTATAGGGATTGCAGAAGAAAAACAGGCTGGCCAGAATTATTCCTCATACAAATCTGACAACTTGGCTATTTGCTGATTCTCAAATTATTTCACTCACCAAACTGAGAGAAAACATAGGTTCATCACCTTTGTACTGAAGTTCTGAGTTGTACCAGAAACTCATCAAACAAGGGGGATATTATTCTATTCCTCCTCAAATTTAAAACATTATCAGCTCCCTTCTGGCATTTCCTAGGATCTCAATAAGACTCCAGTCCTTCAACATGCAATATTTTTAAGGAATTAGTTGTGTCTGCTGTTAACTGACCAGGTGTGTAGGTGAGAAGCAAGTACAAATATTTCCTTAAAAAATATATATATAATCTATATGTGCAAGTAGTGCTTGCTCTTATTGCTTGGCCATTTTCTGACACAAAATACCTGCATAAAATATTTTCTCACTGGCTCCTCATGGAAAGAAATATACCCCATATGATGATTCTGATCGCTTCCTCTCTTTATAGTATCTTATGCTGATGATCCTATCTCTGCGGCATGTTGGTTCTCTGATTTTAAACTATGTGGGTCCTTGAAGGCCTTGATGTCTCAGTCTCTAAAAAGAAAATCCTATGGAGGGTCCTCTGTATAAAAATATATATGTAAGGAAGAAGTAGATCATGACATCTATTTTGGTGCAAATTTTGAAGTTGATGATTGTACTGATACAGATATCTATTTGAACTAATACAACATTGGTGATAAAACAATAGCTTGTTTGCGCTGATACAATATTATTGATTATATTGATACCGTATTTTAATTGTATTGATTTAGAATTGATAGCTGTGATTTTCTATAGAGGACCCTTGGTAGAGTTTTCTTCATCCAAAGACTCCTCCATGTCGTGGGGTCTCTCTCCTTTTGAACGGAGGTGATAAAAGGAGAACATGTTTTGGAAGTACAACTGAATAGTCTTGATAAAAAAAAGAGAGAGATAAGACATAGAATAATCATCAACACCCATCCAATTACTGGGGTTTTGTTTTGTTTTTTAGACTCTTCGTCTTGATGTTTCAAGCCATTGAAAGAGACTGAGGATAGTGGGTAGGGCCAGTGCATTTGTGGTTCACATCTCTTTAGCTTTCCCCCTATCCACAAACTTGAATTCTAGTGTGCCCATTGGCCCTCTTTAGATTTTTCTCCTATTCAGTATAATTCTGTTTTATCCAGTATCAGGTTCTCTGTTAAAAGTCTTTTTTCACTGTACCATAACTTTGAGATTATGATATGTATTGAGAGTTTGTACTTCATATCTTAACAAATTATGCAGGTTTAAGGTTGTTTTTTCTATGAAGGTCAAGATTTTTTGTTGTTGGTAGTCTTTGATCAATAAATAATTCTTAGCTTAATTAAATTAATCAGACTCGGCGACTCGATGTTGCATATTAAACATTTGTTTAGTCTGAACTAATCATATGCATTATTATAAAACTCTACTCTATAGTTAATTATATAAATGTTAAGCTTCTTTAGAGAATATACGTGAGTACAGTTTGTGGGATTCCAGTCACTTTCAGTCCTTATCTCTGAAGATTGGAATTGAATCCAGTCATGTTCTGATTTATTAAAAGGATGATGACTACATGCACTTCCATGTGCATGCATCTACATAGACTACATTAAAGGCAACCACTTCACAATCAGAGTTCACCTTATCTTTTATATCACGAACATCTATTACAGGTTCTATGGCCCTCAACATATAACATTTAAGTTGACAAAATGTCTTCAGTATTTTTGTGACCAATGACTTCAAAGTTTAATCAAGCACATGATGGCTAATCACAACTTATTTAGATTAAACAATAGCTTATGCTAAAGATATTTGTTGTGACTGATGCTTTGAGAAACCAAACCAACGAACGCCGAGAGAAAGACCAAACAAAACACAAACACCAAGGTTTTACGTGGTTCGGCAAATTGCCTACGTCCACGGGGCAAGAAGGGGGTGGGTTTTCACTAATAGAGAAGGAGAGTACAAATTGAGATTACAAATCGCTCAAACGAACCAACTAATCTCACCAACAAATCTCTCAATCTCTCAACCAATAACCCTAACAAATAGCTCAGAAAGATCTCTCTTTTTCTGTGCTCCAAAACCCCAAAACTCTCCTCACAAAACCCTCAAATCGTATTGGTATTTATACCAAAACAGAAACCCAAACAGACTGCAAATAGGAACCTGAACTTTCCAAAAAACCCGTCATAAGTCGACTTATCAGTCTGCATAAGTCGACTTGGCAGAGCGAAAAACAGCAACTGGAGAAGAGATCATAAGTCGACTTATCAGACCTGATAAGTCGACTTGGCAGAGCAAAAAACCAACAATCCAGAGCAGAACGTAAGTCGACTCATGCACCAACATAAGTCGACTTACCATAAGTCGACTTATGCCTGTGCATGAGTCGACTTATGACCAAAAATCTGCTTTTTCCAATTCTTCTCCACAATTCTCCACCTCGGCGAAGTTTTCCCAAAACTGAGCCGACACCAACCAAACAAATGCCTCACATGCTGAGACCCAAATGAGAGTGTGAACACTCACCCCAAATGTCGATGTCGCTCACCAAATCGGCTGCATCAAAATGACTGCCTACGTATCCTTTGCCCAAGGAATCAAGCCTTCACGTAGTTCACCCAAACGGCCTCCAAAGGCCCTCAATCAAATAGAAAAGTCTGCAACTCTTCTCCAATATCACCAAACGATCTGCAACTGATAGTATTCCCAATGACCCCAAATTGAGACAAATCAAACACCTCCACCTGAGGTAAACCAATGGCCATATCCAAACTATATCTACCAGCTGCAACTGAATCCAAAACCAATCCATCATCTGCATCCAAAACCAAATGATCTCCAACCTGTGTCACCTTAGCTGGAATCCCAAATGACGCAGTATGATCTGGAGTATGTGGAGTAATCTCCACCCAACGTGGAGTAGCATCACTCTCCACCTGCTGCGATATCCAAATGACCTGATCAACACTCTCCACCTGCCGAGAGTCAAAAGTGACATACCTGCTCAGAACAAAATCAGAAGCTCCCAAACGATAATCAACTGAGCCTCCGAACCCCAAACGCGCAATCGGATCCAATCTCACATCCACGATGTGACCAAATGCTGGGTATCCAAATATCCGACGCGACCCAAAATCTGAAGCAGCTCCACCAGATCTAATAACTCCTAAAGCAGCAGTCGGCGACCTATGCATAAGATGACCCAAATATGTCGAAGCCCGCACACCAATGCCAATGCTCGACATCAAACGCCGATCCTCCTCCAGAAAGGAACGACCCATCGAAACTGTCATCTCATCTCGTCGCCCCAAAGTCTCCACACCAATGAAGTGTCTCCTATTGCCGTGAGCTCGGCACCAACGCAAGAAAGGACCCCTACCAAAGCTGAAACAATGAGTTACCTTTCTGCCAATACACTTCTTCCAATTGTTGTTGACTTCTAGGACTTTACACCAACGGGAACTGGTCGCGACCC